CTCTATACCTTGTTATCTCTTCCAAATATCAACCCTTTCAGACACATATACAAATCTTTCCCACAAACCAAGACTTTGTCCAATTATTATATTGTTTGTAGGTACATTAATCTTACATATTTATAATCTACCCCCACCTGAAATGTGAGACCTGTTTTGGGCATAGTGCTTATGAGCTGAGAGATCTGTGAGAGCAGAGGAGGAGAAAACTATTTCATCCACAAGACTTTTAAGTTTAAAAACACCTACCTTTGTATTAGAGATAGTAGGAACTGCAGATGCTGGAGAATCTGAGATAACAAGATGTAGAGCTGGATGAACACAGCAGGCCAAGCAGCATCAGAGGAGCAGGAAGGCTGACGTTTCGGGCCTAGACCCTTCTTCAGAAATCTTCTACACCTTGTTACCTTTGTATTAGGTTTTTTTTAAGGCAGGATTCACACCCACAGGATCAGGAGGTCAGTGCACACTGACAATTATTTTAAAAAGTGAGATTTAAGGGGCCCTCAGAGCTGTTAGCATTTGATTCATGGTCCACATCTGCCTTTGCTGCAACAGAGCTTGTGACCCCAAACATTTAGCTGCTGACCTGCTGGGGTCATGATCCACAGTTTAGCAATTTCTGGAATTTTGGAAGATTATAAGCTATGGATCTATCTGTGCCGTGACTTGTTTTAAGACCCCAGGATGGAGGCCTTTAGGTCACATAGTTTCCCACCACCTTTTTCCTCATTTGTTTAAAAAAATTCATCCCTGCCTATCCCTTCTTGATTTTCAATTATCTTTGGGAAGTTTTTGAAATAATCTACAATGAAGAAAGACCACAAAACACCTGTTCAAAGCCTCTGCCAATTCTTAGTTTTCTATTATCAATTTCTCTGAATCATGAGAGGACTGACACTCACTTTTTAGTGGAAAAGTTCAGCAGGTCTGGTTGCATCTGTGGAGAGAAATCAGAGTTAATGTTTTGGGTCCAGTGACTCTTCCTCAGAACTGATGGCAGCTAGGAAAATGCTGGTTTTTATGCAGAAGACAGGATGGAGAGAGCGGGGTAAGAAGTAAATGATAGGCTGAGATAAAGCCCAAAGAGAGAGAAGGACACTTGGACAGGCAAAGGAATGGATAATGGTTAGGCAAGGAGGATGAATAGCTATTTAACGGAGATTGTTAGTGGTTAACAGTCCCCGTTCTGACTGGGAACGTGACAGCCTTCTGGACTCAATAGCAAGTTGAACAAATTTAGAGCTTGAGCTTCTCCCGTGTCCTTACCCCAACACCCACACACCAGGCCTTGTTATCACTTAGTCTGCTGTTTCACACAACCCATTGTTGGCCATTAAAAATCACCGATAACAGCTATTTACCCTCCTAGCCAAATCATCATCCACTCCTTTGTCTGTCCAACTGTCCTTCTCTCCCTTTGGGCTCTATCTCCATCTAGCATTTACTCCTTAGCCCCTCCACCCCCTACCCTATCTTCTGCATAAAAACCAACATTTTCCTAGCTACCATCATTTCTGAGGACAGGTCACTGGACCTGCTAAACTTTTCCCACAAATTATGTTTCTGATATCCAGTATCCACTGTTCTTTCAGTTTTTACTCACTTTTTAGTGCTCTTTTCTAGTACACATCCTTGTAAAAAAAACATATTATTCATTTCTATGTTACAAATTAGCCTATTCACTATCTAATCAAACCATCTACTGACTTGCTATTAATTGTTGCTGATTTGCACAATATTTCTTTAAATTTTAATACTGTACTAACAGCTTTCCTTCACTATGAGTGATGCATCCTTTTCTAAGACATTTGTTTTATCACTGGAATAAATCTTTGCTGAGGATTATTAAATATTTCATTAAAAATATTCCCATTGCAACTCTACTGAGCTAACGTTTAATCTAGTTTCCCAGGTCTGCCTTCATTCTCTCACTGTTGCCCTTATTTAGATGTAAAATACTAGTCATGGAGCCACACTCTCTCTTTCAAACTGAACATGAAAATCTATCATGTTGTGATCACTGTTACCGAGAGGCTCCTTTATCATGAAGTCTCTGATTAATACTACCTCACTGCATAAGTCTAAGATGATTGAAAGAGTATGAGGGACTATGGGAGATGGTACAGGGCTTTAGTGGCATGTACAGTGCATGGAGAATGTGTGGAGGTGAAGGGAGTGGGCTGGAGGAATATATAACATTTTACTCTTATACTTCAATATTTAGGCACAGTACTGCAACCCAAAGACAAGTTTTCAATGCAGCCCAGTCAGAACCCAATAGAATCCTCACCTCATCCTGGTTCTCCCAGTCTGAATTCCAATTCCACATGCCCACAAATGGGGAAGTAGGCAGGGTTCACAGAGCTAGGAATTCTCCCATCTCTACATAACTGACCTGGGAACATAAATTGAGGCCGATGTGTCCCTTTATGAGGGCATTCAGATCTAGGTGTTGCAAAATAACTAATTTCCCATTAAATACAGAAAATTGTAACAGAAATTTCTTCTCTCTCGGAGGGCCATTAATCTTTGAAATTGTCTTTCCCATTGGTCTGTGGAATCTGGTTTATTGAAAATATTTAAGGTTGAGTTACACAGATTTTTAATCTAGAAGGAAGTAACTGGTTAAGAAAGTGGTGTTAAGAATACAGTCAGGTCAGCCATGATATTACTGAATGGCAAAGCAGACTGGAATGGGCAAATAGCCTTATCCTGCTCCTATCACTTATGTGAACAAAGTCTGTAACAGGAATGAAGCAATAGTGGCACTTGGGTGTTCAGTGAGTGCTTGGATATTGGTGATTGTTGGGTGCTTTGAAGGGGTGGAGTGTGATCAAGTGTCAGTTATGGTAGGGCATGCATTTAGGTGACAAGAGGATTAGAAAATCATGGTTTGGGCAAGATATTGAGTGTCATAGATTGGGTGTTGGGGGTATGGAGGCTGTCAGATCTGGTCAGTTGGGTAGGTGATGGATCTTGTGAGTAACTGGGGAGTAAGTGTTAGTGATTAGGGTACTAGTTTCCTAGTTGGACAGGTTGTGTTTCCA